TCAACCTAAAGGAAATCAGTCCTGTATATTCACTGGAAGGACTGATGCTGAAGCTCCAATACTTTGGTCATCTGATTCAGAGGGCCAACTCATTGGAAAAGACTTGATGCTAGGAAAGATCAAAGTCCAAAGGAGAAGAGGGAGTCAGAGGATGAGATGGATGGACACCAACACCGACTCAATGAACATGAATTCGAGGAAACTACGGGAGATAGGGAAGGAAAAGGAAGCCTGGCGTGCTACAGTCTATGGGGTCACAAAGAGTTGGACATGACTTAGTGACTGCACAACAAAACTGCAATGTGAGTTCTTTGAGGGCTGATATATTTTAATTTTTATTATATATTGGAGCATAGTTGATTAACAATGATGTGTTAGTTTTGGGTGTACAGCAAAGTGATTCAGTTATACATAAACATGTATCTATTCTTTATCAATTTTTTTCCACTTATGTTATTACAGAATATTAATCAGTGTTCCTTATGCTATACAGCTGGGCCAATATTTTTTTTTTGCAGTACCACTGGTTTCTAAATAAACAAATATTTGTTAAAATATAAATAAAGGAAATCTCCAGAGGATAAGTTTTATGGAGAAAATAACAAACTACTTTTCATTTCACCCTGTATATTATATAATATAAATGTATTATTTTGGACATTAAAATACTAGTGCTTATGCTATAGCATATATAAAACTTGTAAGAAATTATTATTTATATATATGTTTGTAGGATGGTGGGAGATTTAGAAGCCATTTTTTTTCACATCTGTATATGAGTAGTTTTCTCAAGAAAAATGCATTTTTGTGGGGATGCCTAGATACATATGGCAAAGACAACAGTGTCCTCATTTCGTATCTCCTTTAAAAAATTCACAAGGTAATATTCATGTCTGTCTTCATTTATCTCTGAGAGAGATCCTTGTGCACCAGTGGCAGCTGTCTTTGGAAAAATCATGAAGGACTGGGAATCCAAAGGCTTTCCCTTCCCCTACCTTTATTTCACCAAGAAATTACCTCTGAATCCTCAAAGGTCATTTGACAAACAGTTTTATTTTGCTGTTCTACATACTTTGGCCCTTGTATAATATAAATAAAGGAAATCTCCAGAGGATAAGTTTTATGGAGAAAATAACAAACTACTTTTCATTTCACCCTGTATATTATATAATATAAATGTATTATTTTGGACATTAAAATACTAGTGCTTATGCTATAGCATATATAAAACTTGTAAGAAATTATTATTTATATATATGTTTGTAGGATGGTGGGAGATTTAGAAGCCATTTTTTTTCACATCTGTATATGAGTAGTTTTCTCAAGAAAAATGCATTTTTGTGGGGATGCCTAGATACATATGGCAAAGACAACAGTGTCCTCATTTCGTATCTCCTTTAAAAAATTCACAAGGTAATATTCATGTCTGTCTTCATTTATTTACATGATGTGAAATCCTGAGAGAGATCCTTGTGCACCAGTGGCAGCTGTCTTTGGAAAAATCATGAAGGACTGGGAATCCAAAGGCTTTCCCTTCCCCTACCTTTATTTCACCAAGAAATTACCTCTGAATCCTCAAAGGTCATTTGACAAACAGTTTTATTTTGCTGTTCTACATACTTTGGCCCTTGTATATAGGATGAATAGCAAGTATGTTAATTTATGAAGTTAGATCTTCATCTACCTGTTTAATCAGTATCAATTTATTATGCTCTTGCCATGTGCCAGATACATTGTCACAAGAAGAGTTCTTGTTCTTTTACTATTTTGTCCTGGGAGTCTGTGCAGATCACCTACCTGTGTCATCTATAATATGATATAATAATGCATACTTTCCTGGGTCAAATTTTGTGAGGATCAGATGCAAAAGAAACTTCTAATATAAGAATTTGAGAGAGAGATTTTTCACACCATAAAGATATTTTTACAGTTCAGTAGCTGAGGCTATCATTCATCCCAACCCAGGAATCAATGTGTCTCCTGCATTGGAGGTGAATTCTTTACATTTTGAGCCATTGGGGAAGTTCCATAAGATATTGCCATAAAATAACTGATTGTTTAGAAAATGAAGATTGATTCTTAGATCCTGAGATTATTATTGCTTTTATTGGGATGGTAATCTGAGACTTCTTTCATGAGAAGTATGAAATGAGAAACAAGTTAGAGTGTGAAGATATTGTTTTCATAATATTTATTAGGTATTTAAGGCTATTTGAGGCCCAGATATAATATTATTTGGAACTAAACACATGAAGACAATTTTAAAAAGTCTTGTCTTATATAAAAATGATGGAGAGAGGTGAAGAGCAATTTCATTAAACTGTATTTTTGTATCCATTTTTGAAGTGAGCGAGCATTTCTACCTGTCTTTATGACTACAGTTTATGAGTCTCATATGTATCTTACATGAGATTTGTTGAAATCAACCTCTGGTAATATGCAGTGCTTTTATAGTTCACTGCAGCAAATGGAGTGACAAGATCCTGAAGGCTAAAGAGAAAAATTATCACAGAGCAGTCTCTCTAGGTTCTCATTCACTAATAATAGTAATTACTATGCTTATTGAGTATTTTTCATGTGCCAAGAATTCTCAGGACTTTACTTTTATGGATGTATATAATTTTCCCATCATAATTATAAAGTCAATTTTATTATCATTCTACTTTATGGTGAAGTATAAAGAGTTTGAGGGATTTGAACACGGTCATTTGGTGAAAGGGTTATGATCTGAACACAGACTGACTCTGGAGAACTTTATTAAATATTACAGCATATAGTCTCTCATCCCAAATCTAGTCTGGCTGAGTGAGAGCTAACAAAGTGGTGGTGGTAGAAATGGGGAGAAGGAAGACACAGAGTGGCTAAGACAAAGGAGGGAAAATTATTTTATCTTCAAGTTCTGTGACTCAGGACAAATTATAAATTGTGCGTTATTATCATGTGACACCACTAGTTTTTATAACACATGTACTTAAGATATATGTATTCACTCTTCATGTTTCTCTGACTTAATGGTTCCACATATAATTATTTCCTAATTTTTTGTGCCCCAAAAAACTGTGAGGGATGCAGTGTTTTCTGTTTCTCATAGCACCTGGTACACGGTGGTCACACAAAAAACATTTCAAACCCATTTAGTCACTCACTGACTAAATGGGTTATTTGAAGTCACATCATGGGAAAGGTTTAATGTTATGAAGAACATTCCAACAGTCACAGTTGTTAAATCTAAGAAGGGGGCCAGCCTGCCTCAGAATCTTGGAAATTCAATGTCTTTAGAACGTAACATACTGCAGAGATTTTGCCAGGGATACCAAAGAAAGGAAATATAAAAAGATGATCTAGTTGGACTTCCTAATTATACATATCTCTGATTTTCTGATTCTACCAATTCCATAAAGAATCATTTCCCATTTTAAAAATAGTATTATGCAGCATGAGTTGGATGTGGTCAGAAATTAGCATAATTGGTATAAACTTCTTCTTTCCTAAAGTGAAAAAACAAACAAACAAACAAACAAAACCTCCTAAAGCTGGAATCTTGGTAAGGTGAATTATATTTGAACTAGTCTACAAAAATGTAGGCAGGCTTCCCTAAAATTATTAACTATTACATTAAGTACTTGGATAAATATAAAATGAGACATGTCTCTTGTTTTCTTTATATTGATCAGATTGCATTCTCTATATGTCTACAAATATTTTTATTGTGTATAAATGAACCAACAATTCCCCATATGATATATAGAGAGGGTCTATTTTTCCATTGTTAGAATGATTGCTAACTCTAATCTAATCAAGAATAGATTTCAGGCAGAGGATGCATTGAAAACTTGTTAACATGCAGATTATTCCAAAATTGGCCCTGTTGCTTCAGCATAGACTTTATATGCATCTGATTGAGAGCAATGTGGGTGTTTGTATTTCCAAGTCTGAAACACTATGATTTAATTTTCAGTCAGAGTTCCCTGTATTAATATTTGCTAGATATATGTTCTAGAAATTAGATAAAACTACATTGGATGTTCAATAAATGGATGCTGAGTGAACAGAGAAATAATTTCAAAAATTATTTTACCCTTTTCTTCAAGTGAACTAGATAAAAAAAGGAATATTTACTTCTTATAGTTTTATATAGTTGACTGAAAAATGAAAGGAGGCCTTAAGAAATTTTGCCAAATACCATAAATATAAACTAACAGGACCATAATTCTAAATTTTATGACTAATTCCTCCCTCTATATTTTTATTTCCCTTTCTATATACCAATGCCCTATTCTCCATGTATGTCTCATATGAAGAGCATTGACAGGCAAAGGTAGGTATCAGATAGGAACTGTGGATTCTTTCTGAGCATAGATAATTGTAACACAATGAGACATTGACAAAAATAAAATGAAGTAGATGAAATAAGATAAAAGAAGGCAAAGAAAACCTTTTGGAATTAATGCTGATGAAAGTACAACTTTATGAACTTTAAAAATGTGACCTTTATGGTATGTGAGTTTTATTTCAATACAGCTGTTATAAAGACAGAATGCTAGCCACTCTTGCATTATTTTTACATAAACAGAGGTGCTAAGAGAGCTACATTCTTTGATGTCTCTTCCTCCAGAAATTTAAGATTTCCAAAATAAAAAGCATCAGTGACTACTTACATTTGCTTTACAACTCAGCCATGCAAATTTAAGACATGGCATCTTTGTTGATGCTTTAATGTATGTCTATCTGTTATGTTATAGAACAAATGTACCAGTAAGGTGAAAAATAAAACCATGCAATCATCACAGAGCTTCAACCTTAAGTATATTTACTGGAGCAGCAAAACGAAGAAAAGAATTGGGTTTCAAAAGAAAGCATCAAATGCTCATTAATTCTATAACCATCTCGCAAGCACAGCATCTGGAACTGTACTGATAAAAGAAGGGAAACAATGAGTATACCCTAGCTTCATCTGCTATAACCAAAGTTGTGATGGCTCATGGGTGTAATCAACTTACCCGGTCAAGAGCTGCTTTCTCCAGTTCATTTTTGGCTACAGCTAATTTTTGTTCCAGATCAGTAAGCTGTTGGGCCTGTAAAATGAGAGGTAAATCTTTTTTAGTAAATTCTATAATCTTCCCTCTCCACTTTAAATATCTGTCATTCACAGCCAAAGAATTTAGAAAAAGAAAACTATTGAAGTTCATTTAGAATTCAGGTTAAATATATCCTATTATGTGGTCATTTGTTCAAACTGCAGAAAATGTTATTCCAGATGAATATGTGCTAAATGCTTCACTGGATCAAAACATCTAGTTGCAAAGTCCCAGCTCAAGTCTTTGACCATCAGTTGTGTTTCTAGTCATTATGGACTAAATGTTGCCCATCCCTAAAACTCACGTTGAAGCTCTACACCCCTTTCCACACACCTTCTTAGTGTATTTGGGGATAAAGCCTTTAGGGAGGTAACTGAGGTTAAAAGAGATCATAAAGGTGAGGCCCTAATCCCACAGAATTGGTGTCCTTATACGAAAAGGAAGAGATACCAGAGATCTCTGTCCATCATCACAAAGAGGCAAGAATCAGTGGAAAGTTACCACCTGCAAGCCAAAAACAGCTCTCACTAGAAACCAAATCTGCCAGTACCTTAAGCACAGAACCATGAGAAAACAGATTCTGTTACATCACCCATTCTGTGGTAGTTTGTTAAGGTGCCCCGAGAAGACTAATACAATAGTATTCACTTAAAAAAAAATTGGTTTTTTTTTAGTATTACATGAATACAGTTCTATCCTACCATATCTTTGTATCTTTGCAAATATCACAACTGTATTGTTAAAAAAGACTCAGATTTGGAAGACATGTTCTCAAGTCCTGCCTCTACCAACTGCTATTTACTGTATATACTAGTTACATACATGACGAGTAGATGCTATGAGGGCTCACAAAGGGCCTGCTGCTGCTGCTAAGTCACTTCAGTCATGTCCGACTCTGTGTGACCCCATAGACGGCAGCCCACCAGGCTCCCCCGTCCCTGGGATTCTCCAGGCAAGAACACTGGAGTGTGTTGCCATTTCCTTCTCCAATGCATGAAAGTGAAAAGTGAAAGTGAAGTTGCTCAGTCATGTCCAACTCTTAGTGACCCCATGGACCGCAGCCTACCAGGCTCCTCCATCCATGGGATTTTCCAGGCAAGAGTACTGGAGAGGGGTGCCACTGCCTTCTCTGCAAAGGGCCTGCAGAAGGGCCCAAGTCCCTCATTCTCAGAGCCTCTCTCTACCTCTCACTTTTGCCCATCTCCTACATTTTAGCCAATGAAAATCCTTTAAAACTGGAAGGAACAAGGCTTGCTCTGATGTTCTTGTGAGGCAAGGGGGTTGAGTTCACTTGGGAGAAATCAGAAGAGGGGGCTTATCACTTCTGCCATGACCAGGACATCCCCACTCTGGATCTCCATCCTGGGCACTATGGAGCAAGGCTATGTATAGCCAACCAGCAAAGTGCCTATTTGTTGCTCTTCATTTCTCTCCCTCACAGTCTGGTAAGCAGCACCCTGCACCTCTGTCCTTAATTAACCTGTTTTTTTTTTTTTCTTTCCCTAGAACAAGCCCTAGGCAGGAGGAGAGGGTGGGGATATTTTTCTTGATTATGAAAACCTATATGCATTCTTTAGGCACATGCATAGTTTTCATCCCCTAAATTGATTGGTTCTATTTTCCACACTTGACTCTCTTGGAAAATTATTTTTGTAGGCAACTGTAGTCCTTCAACAGTAACCTAATCATGTACATGAGCACTTCTAAACATATGATACTGTTTAAAAATAAATCATTCTGAGTAAGAGAGTGAGTGAGAGAGAGAGGTGATGAAGAGAGTTGTTTCCAATTTGAGGCATCTATGAGTGAGTGGACACGCAGACGCTCTGAATAGTGGACTCCCCTTTGACCTTGTCCTCCTCTTTCTGATCACCTGACCCCACATCAAGAGGGCTTTGGGACTATAAGACCCAGTTTTGCAATCCTGGCCTGGGCTTGGGCCACCCTGCTGGCCCTGAATCACAGATGCCCTGGTTCCAGTCACATTCCTCAACCACAGAGCACTCCAGACTTGCCCTCTGACCATGCCTGCTACCATGGACCCTGCCAGAGCTGGCTTCTGTCGCTGGGACTGAGTCTCAAAGGAAGGAAGAAGAGTTGCCCTTCTATCTATTCCCAGTTTCCAGGCCTAGGACAGGAGTTAGGGAAGACACAGAGGGGCGGTGACTGGGCCTTAGTGGGACAATGGTTATCCCACACCCCCACTGTGGCTGCAGGCTCTAGGAGAGGTCCCTGGAACTTGTGTGTGATGAGGGCAAGAGTGTCAGCACCAGCCTCAGTGCCAATCAACCATCCTGGTCACCAGCCACCCAGAAATCCCCTATGTTTTGAATTCCTTTTTACTCCCACAAAGCACCTCATGATGTTTTCGTTCTCAGGGACCCCTTTGGTGGGCAACTATCCTCCTCATGATGCTGTCATTCTTTATCTGCAGTCTAGAGGGGGTCTGCATAGATAGAAGTCCTCCTGCCTCCATCCCTTTCCCTCCACATGTGGGTTTCAGCCCAAATCCTGTCATTCAAACTAGGGCACTCTCATTGAAGGATGAATTCAGGGTGGACAGTGGGAAAAACCACATATGCCTTCAAAAGCTTATTGCCATAAGTTCTCAGGATTTCAAGTATTTACTTCTACTAAGAACTCATTGAACTTGGTAAAATCTACCCAAGAGATCTTGGGAGACAAAAGGTTAGAAAAATATTAAGAAAAGTATTCAAAAGATTGCAGGTACTGACTCATATTATCATACTTTGGTCTTAGTTTTGAAAAGATCAGCTACTGGATTAGATCATAGGTACTATTTACAAAACTATAGAAAATAAAAACAGTTCTGTGAGTTTTAAATTATCAGAAGACCTATCAGACAGTGAATTTTATCTGTTGTAAGTCATTTACTTTCTCAATTTAACTCCCATGAAAAAAAAAAGGGTAGGGTTACTTAAGGGGAGGTAGTCATGAATCTAGAGTAGCTTTCACTTACATCCAGTCCATTGAATAAGTATCTCTGAAGTGATTAATCTTTTTTCAGACTAAGAAGGAAATATCATCCATATACAGAGGTTGAAAATACAGATGAGGTAGCAAGCATGTAAAGTGACACCATGAGACTCTAACTGCTAAGCTGAGAGTGTGTGTAAGTGTAGCAGAGAACAGTGGAGGGGCTTTTCATAGTGGCCTGAGAAGTCACAGTGTTCTTCCTCATACGACTAATACCAAACAAAACTGTAACAGTTAATTTTTATATATTTTCTCATTTGAGATTTTTCACACGAGAGGCTAGAGTCCATATAATGATTCTTAATTTACTTAAAAATTATGATGCTCCACAACTCGAGTTTGTATAGACCACAAAATACTGGAATCTGGTTTGGCTCTGCCATCCAGGCTCTTAAGTCTGGAGCTGTTCCTAGCTGTTCTGGAGCTGTTTCCTAGCTGTTTTTCTCAAGGATCTACCTTAAACTGGGTAAGATTATAAAGGATGAAATCAGTGCTGTATTTACAGCAAAAATCATGTATATTTTTTCTTCTAAGAAATAGGCATGCATAGTCATACATGTATGAAGTCATATTGAATGAAGGAAACAGAAAGGACATGATGTTAGGCAGTTGCATTTTATCTGAGATTTCAATGAACCATTTTACAAAATTTTGGCAAATGCACATATCTGCAAGGTTCTAATTCATTATTCATACATCATGTGTGTAATTCAATATTTCTGGAAACTCACTGGGACAAGGATTATCTTAATCCTTTCCCACTTCCTTCCCTCTAGGTAAGAAGATCCAGTTACCTTCTTTTTAATTTTTTGGTGAATTTCCCTGAGGTTTTTGGAATATGAGTCTTTACAACTCAAAAGGACCTGAAACAACTTTAAATGTATTAGAAGCTTAAACATAAATCAAAAACACGAGGTCTATGGAAAACACATGTGTCTTTAGAATGGGATGTGAAGGTAGATCATGGGTGGTGAGAGCAAAAGGAGGCATTGGTAATGGGGCCTATGGAGCGCTATCCATTTGTCTGGACTGTGCTGCAAACTTGCTCCAAGACTTCTGGCAGCCAGGTATTAAAAACAAATTGATAAAAAGAAAACTACAGGCCAGTATCACTGATGAACACAGATGCAAAAATCCTCAACAAAATTCTAGCAAACAGAATTCAAAAACATATTTAAAAGGTCATACATCATGACCAAGTGGACTTTATCCCAGGGATGCAAGGATTCTTCAATATTCACAAATCTATCAATGTGATACACCACATTAACAAACTGAAAGATAAAAGCCATATGATTATCTCAACAGATGCAGAGAAAGCTTTTGACAAAATTCAACATCCATTTATGATAAAAAAAAACTCTCCAAAAAGCAGGCATAGAGGGAACATAACTCAACATAGTAAAAGCTATATATGATAAACCCATAGCAAACATCCTCAATGGTGAAAAATTGAAAGCATTTCCCCTAAAGTCAAGACAAGGGTGCCCTCTCTCACCACTACTATTCAACATAGTTTTGGAAGTTTTGGCCACAGCAATCAGGAAAGAAAAAGAAACAAAAGAAATCCAGATTGGAATAGAAGTAAAACTCTCACTGTTTGCAGATGACATGATTCTCTACATAGAAAACCCTAAAGACTCTACCAGAAAATTACTAGAGCTAATCAATGAATATAGTAAAGTTGCAGGATATAAAATTAACACACAGAAATCTCTTGCATTCCTATACACTAACAATGAGAAAACAGAAAGAGAAATTAAGGAAAC